TTTTTAATTAAGATATCTCTATTAATAGAGATATCTTAGTTAAAACTAAGATATCTCTATTAAAAACTAAGATATCTCTATTTAAAACTAAGATATCTCTATTTACGATTAAATGACAACTCGGCTCGCCATATAGGACTATGCATAGGCCTATATGTTGTGCAGTGTATTCACCATACATCTCTGTCTTCCTTTAATCATTATGAGTGAACATTGTGCGACTTCGAATTTTTTAAAAAAATCATCCTGAACATGCGTGCCTACGCTGTAACAGAAACACTTTACAAACATGCCGTGTGTGTTGGACAGTCGTCTAATGTTCTCACCGGATGCGAAAATATAAAACAGTTTCCGGTCAAGCAATTAACTTATCGGTCGACGCACTCGTACACAAAGAAGGCAAGTAATAGTAGTTATGAGAATTGTAGATATTGTTTCACCGTAGGCGCTGAAATTCGTCTGCCCATTGTATACTTAGAGCAGGCGGTTTGGATACACGACTAACTTCTGGACGCAGACGACAGCTAATATAGCGATTCCCTGAAGTGGAAAGGACAAGACGTGTTTAAAGTTATGTCAATAATTATCTTCTTTTTTTTTTTAAATGAATGAATTAATACTCAAATCATTCGTGCACGTTTTTATGTGGTGTATGATCAAATAAACTAAACTATTTTAAAAATAACAACAGCGTATCAAAACAATAATAGTAACAAAAGTGATAATCACATATGCTTCATTATCATCAACATTTACTCAAGAATAAAAACAAATTTAATAATTTAACGAATAATGAACAGGGGCCTACTGTACATAGTTAATAAGAACCAACTAGGCCTATATGCTTTTTGTGTCTTGGAAAAATCGGTTGTACAACATATCAACAAGATTTCTTTCTCCGGATTCTGGTTTCAAACCCAGTAACGATTTCCTTTAATGATCATACTCATGGATATTCTGCAGGAAATTTTGGGATTTGATTAAACAATCAAATTAACTTCAGTAAATTCATCATTTGCTGTCTGTCAAATATCTTCAGACATAACCGGTAACAGTTGGCCATACCATTATCTTTTATGATGGTCACATCATAGTGTGGTGATTATGTAATTGAATCTGTGATGACATTTTAATTAATAGGGAGATTTCGCAACCTTACAAAAAAACGATAAGGAATACGAATACGTCATTATTATTATCGTCATTCGTGCCTAAAACATTCTTGACAATATTATGCTGTATGAGCTGAATATGACCTTTGATCCATGCAAAAGGCATAAATCGCCAACGTTGTGACAGATATGCTACTGTAGGGGAAGGGTTGTCTACAAATGTGATGACGTAACCGTATTCGTTTACGTAGTTTGCGAAAACTCCCCAATATGAAAAGGAGATAGATATAACACAGGCAAACAAATACATTATTGTGTAATTACTTACGTGAATTGGTATAACTCCCAGGCACGTGGCCCCAACTATAACCAAGTTTTTTTGAATCCAATCGCCCGCATTGACAGTGCATCCCTATGGAAATTATTGTGAAAATACGGTTATGATAATAACGCGTATTTAAGAGTAGTTAAGCATAGCTTAAGGTAGTTAGGGACGTCCTGGGTACGACATTAAACTCCATCCGGTCGAAGCGTCGGCGACTAAACTGACAACCCTCTCAAATATGTCTTAGTGGCTGCTGAGGGGAGGGTGTTTATGGTCACCCAGCAGCAAGAAAAACCAATAGCTGAACAAAGGGCGATGAGCTCCTCGGGTTCAACGGCCAACCATTAATTAGTTTAAGGAATAGGAGTAGTTTAGTCTCGTTGTTATTATTGCTATTATGATTATTTTTATTTTATTTTTTTTAATTTTTTATTTATTTATTTTTTTTTATTGTTATTATTTCTCTGTAAAGCGCATAGGGGCAATGTGCAATATGCGCTATATAAATATAACATTATTATTATTATTATTTTTATTTGATCGAGAGAGCGGCGAGAAACAAAATGTAAAACACATTATTTGTCTAAATGTCATAAACATACAATATTAGCCTAGTCTGTCGATTAAATTCATAAATTCACTAAATGAAAGTTATTATTTAATAGTGGTACTAGCAGCAGTAGTACTGGCAGTAGCAGCAGTAGCTGCAGCAGTAGCTGAAGCAGTAGCTGCAACAACAGCAATGGGTCTTGCATATTGCATTGAAATCACAGATCTTCATAGTTGAGTATACCGCCACCAAGCGTTACATAACTAAGTATCTTAAGGGCAGGCTCCAATTTCAGAGTTTCGACCTCAAGATATATACGAATAAAATGTTAATAATCTGAAGGAAAAAAAATTGAAAAATAAATAAAAATATTTTGTTTGCTTACATTGTACAAAATTTGTAAGTTATGTTTCGATCGCAAATCCGAAAAAAAAAAATCATTGCCAATTAAATTGAAAAGTCATTGTATATGTTAATTTTCTGTTACTCATGAACCACATGCTTCCACGATCAGTGTCAGATCCAGGGGAGAGCAAAAATCCCCCTCCCAGGCAGCAGCCAATTCAATCCTTAAAAAAGTGAGGAATCATTTAGATATGCAACTAAGATGGCTAAAACTTTGGATCTTCCATGGAATCCTATCTGGACAATGGGCAAGAAAAGACCCACCCGACAAAAAACAATCCTTGATTCACCACTGACAATAATCCTTCATTATGTAATCATCAGGATGAATTCCTGATGATGACATAATTAATGTCGAAATATTGAATCCCAAGACGATGACGTCATTTTGGAATGTTTTGCATCAGCTTGCATAATTTGGTGTAAAATATTAAATCGTTAAAGTGATCAACGGTTGGTGGAATGGATTGTCGACCTAGGTTATGCGATATAGACCACGTTAGCAGGCCATAGGCTCACCTCTTGATATATAGTACTGCTATAATAAGAATCGTCTTGACAGGTCCCATCGAGGCCCTCTCGACAGCAGGAGTTGGGGACATTGTAACCCGTATCGAGGTAATAATATGAATAGAGCCAGTCACTGGGCCCGTCAGCTCCACAGCACTTGCACTAAATGAACAGAATACAGAATAAAACAATGTTGGTTACAATAATTTATTTGACAGCGTTTTTAATCAAGTTTTACACAATTATTATTTTATGACAAGGTTGTGATACTGGTAATTCACAAATAATTGATCTTTGCAATTAAACTCATCTTGGAAGAACAGATTGACAGTTGGTGGGTGACATTCTTAAATAATTATTCAATATAATAATTAAATAATAATACAGCAAACCTAAAAGATGGAAAAATGTTGTCAACGTCGAATTAAGGTGGACACCCGTAAACAAGGAGTCATAGATAGGTGTCTCCTGATGATTTTTTTCTGGTCACTTTAGCTCACAGTACATAAAATTCAATAAACGAATGGGTAATGTTAATATACGGTAATCATTTGAATGGGTGCACTTATATTTAATAATTTATAATAAATAGTATTTTAATTCAGATACACAATTCATTATTTCACCCTTTACATTTACAAGCATGCATTATCAAAATCAATGATTTTTTTTTGCGTTTAAATAGTCCGACTACTGTATGTGATCAGTAGGCTCTTTAAAGGTTGACTCTTAATTACAATAACCCATTTGGCCTTTAGCAGTGCTGGCTCCAGAAATTTTCTGACAGGGGGTTCGACATGCCTGACAGCGGGGTCCGCACCAATGGGCCGACTAGACGGGGTCCGCACCATGGATAAAAATTCCTGGTAGGGGTCATGAAAAGATTTTTTTGCTTAGTATGGCCCAAAATTGTGCCTTTAGACCAGAATATTATTAAGATTGGCTAGTATAGAAATAACGTTAGTTTTTGTTCCGACGACCTCATGTTGCGTCGGATGACGGGGGTCAGGGCCTGTCCGACGGGGGAGGAGACCACC